AACACATCAATACAAACAACCACACACAGCACATTTTTAATCGATACAAACAAATCTGTGAATGGTGGTTTTACGGAGAAAGAGCATTTGTTTCTGCACATATGTAACAAACTTACAATGTATTTTTACCTGTATCTGACTGTATCACCAAAACCATGCTCATCTTCAGTCAAACAATAGACCTGGGACACCACTTCCCCTCACGCTACAGATAGTGGAAGATTCCGACTGTCTTAAGTAAAGTTGATGCTTCCTTTCTCCTGCAGCTCGCGGCTGAAGGGACAGTCCCTGCGGTCGTGTTATTCAGTGATGATGGACACAACCAGAGCTCCCCCCAAGAAACATGACCCCATTCAGTGTAAAATGTTTCAACAAGTCCCCAAGTTTCCAAGATTCTCACTGGTAAAAAAAGACAAAAGGAAGGACACATTACATCTTCTTCGTTGCAAGTGCTATCTGGTCTAAGTACTTATGGATATTGTCCTTATACCAGTAATGTAATAAGCCTCTTTACTATAATGACACATTGATAAGGCTAATTGGCAGACACATTAAACTAAACTCTGACTTTGAATCATAATTTGTTCGTGCTGCCAAGTATAAGTGATTACAGTATTGTCTATTCGCAGTTGTGATGTGCTAACCGTAGCTTTTTTGTAGTATAAATCATTTAAAGCGTCATATTTTTCTTTCAACAATATCCACATGTGAGTTGCGGTAATTTCCACCAAGTGATTTTTGTGACTTTTATTATTGCATATAGATGTTAGATACGTATCACATAAATATTATATACCTTTAAAGTGTGCTTTAAAGGCACGCTGATGTCTAGTTGTGTCAAGAATTAACTGATGTCTTTTGGATTTACAATCTCCAATGCAAGTATTTTAAAACTTGTTCTCAAGTTGATAATAGCATGCAATTGTAATGAACACAATTTCACATCCGGAGAGCCCAGTGAGTAACTATTTCATGCGATGGGCTGGGAGTTATATGATAGTGGTCCTTTCTTTTGAGTGGTTGGTTTGAAAAAGTGTTTTGAGAGCGGGGAACGAGTTAGATGGATTGTATCACATGGTTCCATTTTATTATGATTTGAGAGCAAGGTATTCTAGCTTTAGAAGTATGGAGTCAAGTTTTAATATACATTAGAATATATTCCCATAGTTTTGCTCACAGACATATAAACAAACTCAGGTGATCACTTTCTCTCCCGGGCAAGGTAATTAATATCTGATTTTTTGACAGCACCATGAAACTTCTTGATAAAACCATGACTTTATCATTCTTCTGCATGGATTTTTCAGTTTGAAAAGGACCTCGGTCTCACCTCATATCTATAAATAATGATTTCACCTCTGCAGCCTTGTCCCCTATGGCTCCTGCGTGTGACACTCAGACGCACATGCTGTTTCCAGTAAACAACAGCTCTCACATGCACACGCACACACACGCCCCGTCGCTCCAGCTCTGCACCCAGCCTTCGAGTGTCAATCATGGGGTAGGGCCGCGCAGTGGCTCCCCTCGTCCTCTCAGAGCTCCAGCCTTCGCTCTGCTCTGTGTGAAGTGTTGGATGTTTGTGCAAGAGACAGATGCAGCAGCAGCAGGTCTGTCTGTACAGCTAAAATAACATTCCATCATAATAATAGAAAATGCTACAGTGGAGGTATTTTCAACACTCAAATTTCAGTTGGTGAATCAAATACAAGGATGACTGAGAGTGATTGAATGTTTGACAACCCTCCATCCATCCATTTTCTTCCAATTTATCCTTCGCCGGCCGCAGTCTGAGACACCCAGACTTCCTTATCAACACATGCTTCATCCAGCTCATCCTGGGGAATCTCTAGGCCTTCCCGGGCCACTGAGAGACACAGTCAGTCCAATGTATCCTGGATCTTCCCAGGGGTCTCCTCCTGGTGGAACATGACCGGAAGGAGGAGGCATCTGAAACAGATACTTGAGACACCTCAACTGGATCCTCTCGATGTGGAGAAGCAGTGGCTCTACTCCGAGCTCCTCCCGTGTGACTCAGCTTCTTACCTTATTTCTAAGGGAGCGCTCACTCTGCGGAGGAAGCTCATTTCAAAAGCATGTCCTTTCGGTCATTACCCAAAGCTCATGACCATAGGTGAGGAAGGGGACATAGATCGACCGCATCACTGCGCACGCTGCACCGATCCGCCTGTCAATCTCACGTTCCATCCGTCCCTCACTCGTGAACAAGCCCCCGAGATACTTTAACACTTGAGGTAGGGCCTCTCCAACCTCTGGTGGAGGTCCGGCACTTTTCTGTGGTCATGCACCATGGCCTCAGATTTTATTGATTGTCATCAATTAAAGTATTAAAACAAAAATACATCTAAATGACATGTGTTATTAGTACAATGCTAGGGAAGTATTGAATGTGGCCCCTCCAAGATGGGAAAATGCTGTGATTGTCCCCTTCATAAATGGTCAGGTTCAGTCTTGGTCTAGTCCGAACGTACCAAATGGCCTTGATCTATTCGGCACGCCTTCCAAAAGACCCCATTTTGAACTTGGATACATTTATAGTTGGCTCGTCAAACCTGTAATAGAGTGACTCGAGGATTCTTGAAAATGAATCATCCAGGTTTTAAACTGGTTTTAAACTGCAAGTACAAACAAAAATATAATGTTAGTGATTTGGTTTATGTGCGAGATTATGTAAATATCATTAAAGGGATATTATGTAACATCACTTATTTTTCTTTTGATTATTTAAAACAAAATGGTCCAAAGGAACAATAATATCTTAACATTGCCCACATGTATTCACACTGCACACATAACTCCAAAGAAGTACAGCCATTCCCAGTTTCTCTCATCATCCCCAACCTCGATGGTACCATGCACCTAACCGCCATTTTCTGCCCATTTAGCTGCCAGTCTTACAGTGCACCAGATTACATACCTTCCCCTCACAAACGCGTTTTGAACTGCAGCTGCTATTACCGCCGATATGAGTCACCGTGCACATACATACACGGAGAGCAGAGAACAACCTGGCCCTTATAGTCCTCCCCGATGGCCTAATCAAAGCTGCGCTGGCAGGTATGTTCTTGTAACGCATGCGACCGCCATTTCGCCCGCTCCGTTATGAAGCCAGAGCACTGGAGAGGCGGCCATTAGGGGTATTGATCAACTTGTTTGCTCCCCGCGTGGTGCAGAAGGAGTGCGGGGGAGTTTGTAACCCTCTACATGTATGACATCGGCCTAAAAGCAGGCACGGCTGAAAAACAGCGGGGGCACCGGAAAAGGACCGAGGGGAGCTTACGAGGAAAGGAAGGTGTGAGAAATGAGCTCATTGGGATATAAAGGAGACATGGAAGGAATAGGACCTGTTGTGTGCAAAGATTGTCGTTACATAATCAAAGGAGAAATATGCTCTGGTGAGGTATTTACTGTTAAACTGTACTGCACATTTACAATAACATTTATTGATCTTAATCTTTGTTTACTGACAAGCCAAAGTTGCATCCTATTGTAGCCAGCAGTGGGTTTTTTATATCTTTGATTGAATGTTAAAGAAAATACTTTTTTGAGTAATTACAGAGAAATACATGAAGCCTTGAATGCAATAAATGCTGTGTTACCTTATTAAATCCCCAAAAATCTTTGTTTATGGTCTTGAAATTCCTAAACCACACTAATACAAAAAACAATGTAACTGTTATTTTAATCTCCAACTTTAGTGAGTTCCAATATGGATGCAGATTCATTAGAAAATAACATAACACAACAAGTTTTCCAACAATTACAAAATCATGAAGTAGGGAATTTGTATTTATTTATGTTATCGATTGAGTAAAGGTGTAACTCAGCGTCCCAACCTTGATGCATATCTTTTCCCTTATTATCTGCAAAGTGCTAGATCCATAGTCCTGTTCCTGAAGCCCTAAATATATTTGTCCTCTGGTGTGATCAGATTGAGTTTCGGTGCCGCCCGCACGTCTACATTACGTCCTACATCTGTGAGGGTCACCGTGTAAACAGCCAGTGGAGCCGTCTCATTTCCCATCGCCGACAGAAAATCAAGCCCCCATTAACCCCGAAGTGAACCGGCCCGTCCGCTTTAAGACTGAATTAACAGAGGTGAAAGATCAGAGGCATCAATCCCGAACCCAGGCTGGACTCAAGCACACGGAGCATCGATTACCGCAAAGCCGCTGCATGCTTTAGCTGGATATATCATGGTTTCACTCTTTGTTGTTGAGAGAAAAAACTTCACACCGAGATGATCAAAAGGTCTTAATACATTTTATAATTAATTTGAGCTTTAGTTGGTGAAATAGATAGACTTCACCCTAAGCAGTAAGTCTCTTTTAGTATGGTAAAGGTATACATTATTGTCTGTATAGGGAAATGTGTATGTTCTCTGCATTTGACCCATCCTTCACAACCAGAAGGGCCATGCACCTGTCAGGAGCAGTGGTTTCTCCAGATGACGATGCTTGGTCCGGATTACCAAAGCTGGAGGGTAATACCTATGCTGCATGTTTTGTGTGCATCATAGGTGTGTGTTTTGTGGCACAGGGACATGCAAACTCCACACAGAAAGCCCAGAATCAAACCTGTGACCTTTTTACTCCGAGTGTTACCCGCTCAGCCACACTACTCAAAGACACAAATTAAAGGGGACATCACGTTATAATTTAATCTTGCCTAATGTTTTTAAGGTTATTAAATTATGCATGCTGGAGAAAATTATTCTTCATAGTTGTAACCCAGTAGAGAAAATGGGTCATTTTCTCTTTCTTTTTCTGTATTTATGTGTATGTACTTTTATTTTGAAAAGAGGAAGTGTGATCCCCTTGCTAAAACTTTATTTTCCTGTTTCGCGGTCATGTTGAGAGATAATGACCTTGTGATTGGTTCAGAGGTATTAGTCCCGCCCCCCCTAGTGGCGGACTGAATCTTTCAAGAATTTTCTGTCTTTTTGCACTCTGGGAATGAACGAGACAGGCTGTAGACGGTCCATGCTAAACTCTATGGGTCGTCTGGTGAGTTTGATAAAACAAAATGGTGTAAATAGTTAAATTGTCTTTTTGTTGATTTGGGAATGTTTGTTGTATTAAGTGGAAGGAGCACGAGCTGGAGAGACAGTGTTGTTGTGCCCTTGCTGTGTTCCTCACGATACCTCATCTTGGTAAGTCAATGCCTTGTGAGGGCTAGAAAAACGTGCTAGCGCAATGCTAATACTGGCGCGATGCTAACGCTAATCGCGAGTGCTGTTTTTTATGTTTGTTAGCAATGTAAAATCTATTTTTGGTTTAAATATGATTTCTACCTTATTCTATGTAGTTCATAACTATACTGAGAATCACTTTTTGTTAGTTTCATACTATTTTTGGTCATATGTAAGTATTATTTTGAGGTTGATTGTACATTTCTATGGTTTATTGTATGAAAGTGTATAGTATTTCTTCTTTAATGCTAAACCCAGTAGCACAGATAAGGTTTTACTGATACAATTGTTGATTGGAGTGGAATATCTGAATTCATTAGTATTATTCATTTTATGAGTTACAACAAGTTAAAATTCATTTAAAAATGTATATGCTAATTGTTAAAAATGTTTAATCATAATGTTATGGTTAAATAATTGTTTAAAAAAGGATAGTGATATTTTCATTTGTTTTACAAGGATTAAAAACTATTTCATGTAATACAAAAGGATATTTGAGTTAAAAACATGCATGTAAAATATTATTGTATACTTTGTAACATGATAATAGAGTAAAAAGATGTAGCTATGCAGAGATAGGATAACAGCTGTAAACAATAATACCATTATTGTTGTGCAGGCTAGTTTTCCATGGTAAAGAAAACCTAGATGGATTCTTTGGATTCTCTCTGGATGGAGATGGCGAGCCTGTGCCCAGAACTGGATTCGAGTTGAACCACCATCGTTCCTAAGTGCTGAGTGGTAACACCTTAAATAACCACTTCTGAAGGAAAAGAACTGAACTTAAAGAATATTGACTTGACTACAACTTATAAAAGACTAACTGAGCTCAATGGGACTGGGGATATATTTTTGTTTTGCATTTGCCGGCAATGCTCATTTGTTAAACACTGTATCAAACTGATTTATTTTCAATTGTTTACTAAATAACATTTTTCTTTACATTGTGGTTGCCTCCTGCCATTTCATTAAGCATTCACCGTAGTTTTTATTGTAATCCTTTTGAACCTAGCAACTGGTCTATACTTTTAGTTCCACCTTACCTAAACTAACGTGGGTTAGTTTAGGTGGGTTAGAGGGTTACATAGTCATGTCCACTGTTGTTATTTGCATTGTATGTCAATTGTATATTATTTTCTCCAGTGTTGCACAACATTTCTAGCTTGAAGCAGTATCATCAACAAAACAGGGCATAAATCAGACATAACGGTACCGAGGGGGGGAAAGGGTTCTATTCGCTGAGCTTAAGCAGATGTTTATGTAATTATATTAAATTTAATGTTTTTTGCTTTAATCCAACCACTTATCAATATTATTTTTTTCATTTCACAGCTAGTTACCTTCTTTATAGGGTAAAATTAGTTGAATGCATGTTGTTAGTCCAACTTAAAAATTATTGTAAACATAGCAGTTTTGAGCTGATTGGCAGAGTGAGTGAGTTTCTGAAAAAGCTGATTTAATTACAAGACAGAGGACAAAAACATACATGTGAAACCCATTTATTTTACAGCCAGGGCCCTGTTCAATAAATTGTATCAAAAATATTGCATTTGTTGGGGTTTTAAAGTTCCATCCATCCATCCATCCATTTTCTACCCTTTAATCCATTTCTGGGTCAGGGGGGTGACAGTCAGAGATGCCACCCAAGTCTCATAGCACCAGCCCCTCACTGACCCTCTGCAGGTGGTGAGTCCACAGGAGGACGGCTGCTCTCTGACTGTGAGCATAGCCTTGATCTTTCAGTGGGGGCTTTTTGGGCAAAGTGGGGTTAAGTGTCTTGCCCAAGGACACAACGACAGCAGTCATCAGTGGGAGTCGGTGGAGAAGCGGGTTTTAAAGTTTTTTTTTTGAAAGAGAAGAAATTTAGTTCTTCGGAGCAATGTACAAAATGGAAAGCGATACTGGATGTATATTACCATGGTGATGCTCACTGGAGTATCTTATAAAACTTGACATTCATCATAAAAAAAACTGCACCCCTCAGAACCAAATATGACCTATATCTTTCACTGCACCAATGTGTCCTTATGCTCCCTCCACACACAGATCAGCAGCCTGTCCCATTGGAGTAAAGGGGGGGGGGGGGGGGTCCTGGCTCACTCTCCACCCCAGACATATGGCTGCCGTCCGGGGCTCGATAGTGCGTTCACCGCCCCTCTGACCTGATCCGACATTAACAGCATCCCCGAGTAACAAGGACCTTATGTCTCCTCTCACCTCGCACATAACCACACTTCCACATGAATAATACATCCACTGCAAACGGTAACAATACTCAAGACAAAACCCAACATTTCCAGCAGTCCGAGATGGACATGAAACTTTAATTCATATTACTTTCTGCTCCACAAAAGACAAGAAACTAAAGGATCAAGCGAGCCGTTGTGCATATGTTAGACTTGTTCGCGGTGAAGGATTTGGCAGTTTTTGTCCTCACCTTTGTCTTGTTAAGGCAACGGCTTTGGCTCTGGCTTCATGGGTCTCGGAGTGATACAAATTTAATGGTATTTTGGCAATGGAGCTCTTCTGGATTCTGTACAGTGGGTGCACTCGACAGGAGAATAAGAAGAGACTCGATATCTGCTGTGTGTATAGGCGCTTTGTGCTTTCAGCTTGGGTCCAGACATGCACTATAACAAAAGCATACCAACAGATGAAGTGGCAACCCAGACGTGATTTTTACGAGCTTTGGCTTGTTATGCTACGCCTGTTCATCTGTATTCCCTTGAATAGAGAACAGCATTGCTCTGACAGTCCCCCATTTTGCATCTCTACCGGTACTCACTGGTCTTTATGTACTTTCTTTGTGAATTGTGTTTGGTCACCCATTCAGTACGGAAAATTGAAATGGAGAAACCCACTGTTCCATTTATTCAGTTGTTTTATCTGAGGATTAGGTGTCACAGATCACAAAGCAGTCAAAGGCACAACATGTTCGATTTAATTAATAACAATTATCAGAGTTTCAAATATTTTTCTTTTTTATTCACCACGATGGGCCCTTAAGGATTCAAAATTACATAAAAAGCATCACTCCGAGGTCAACATATAAAGAGCAAACATTAATTTAGAACGAAAACACTAAATGTGGACTAATACCACATTTGGCCGGATTGACAAAATAGATTTCTACAACCAACCAAGAAAATATTCAATTTGAAGGTTTTATTTCACTACAGAGACAAAGGCAATCTAAAAAATATTCAGACCCCCGGTGTGATCCCAGAGCGTTCTTCTTGTTGACAGCATGGAGTCAGTCTTTTCATTATAACTGAATCTGTGTTATTTGGAAGGACCAAATAAATATTTGGTTTGTTTTGTGTAAAACAGTATGAGAGCATAAACCTCGGTAAACTCAATCCACTCTTCAGACACTTCCATTACCAAAAGGAAATCTGTATCTTCAATTTGGACTGATACTGAAATGACTTACATAAACAAAGTCTCAAGTGTCTGTATGTATGTATGTGGCTAACACAGTTTTCTCATTTGTTTCTGATGATGCAGCCTCAGAGCCTCTTTAATGGCCCATAATTTATCCAAAGTGAGCTTGACATTAGACAATCCGCTGACATTTAAAGCCAAAGTCTCAACAGGAAAAAGATGATGGTGCGTTTTACATTGTGACATTCAGAGAAGTCAACCACTGAACCGGCAGTTAGACTTGACATTAGGTGTATGCTCTAATCAGCTAAACTAAAGCAAGAAAAGGGTGGGCAAACTGAGTGTCACCCAGAAAATTTGGTTTTTCCTTGAAGAATCTGATTAGAACTAAATCAAATAGACTCCATGGGCAGGAATCTGGAACCAAACTCTCATATAAGGAACCAAAGAGCCAATCAGGAGCGAAGCCTGTCTATTCTCGATCACACTCTTCGTTGTACAAAGCTTAATTTTGGGAAAGCCCCTGGTTGGTCAGTTCTTAGTGACCACTGGATTCACAATAACAAATAAAAACACCACAGTTTTAAGATCAAAATTGTGAGTCTGACAAGAATGGTTTCAGAATAAGAGGCACTTACTTTTCCGTGAAAAAATGGAAGTCAAAGTGAGGAAAGAGCAATACCTATGAACCCATCCTTAAAAGGCTTCATCAAACGTATGAAATTCAAGGAACGTTTTGGTAGTGACAACCTTTTGCACATGAGTTAAAGTCAGGTGACTAAAAGCAGTAATGAAACAAAGCCTCTTACCAGTGCTGTCATCGTACACCACTGTCACCGTCTTCCATTTGAAGAAGTGCACCAGGTCCAGGATGGCCCGGCTCAGCGAGGAGAAGTCCGGGTATAGGCTGACGTAGAACACATCGCGATTGTCCGACACCTGGTGCTTCCACTTGGTCTGAATGTGAGGGACGCCCAGGGCGTTGCAAATGGACTGCACTGCGTTGGCTGAGGAGCTGTGGGAGGGGCCAAAGATGGCGGCCACGCCCAGGGACAGCTGGTCACACGCTGGACACAGGTAGAAGATGAAGAGAAAGTTACACAAGCAGTGTAAGTGATTGGATAAACCACTTATAAACCACTTGTCCGTTATCTTGAATGACGAGCTAATTCAACCACGCACATCGAAGCACACGACTCCTCGCTGCATATAGTGTGGATTGTCAGGGGCAGTTGACTACTTAAACCAGTGGTTCCCAAAGTGGGGTCCCAACCCCACTGCGGGGGTCGTGAGATGATTTCCATTCAAATAAAAAGGTGGAGCGAATATATAGCCCTTCAATATTTTTTGTTGCAATTGATTTTATTCAATTGAACTACTTGTTAAATTGTGTTTGGAGAAGAGTCTAATAAAGATAATATATTTTGATTACATTTTTAATTTTGTCCCTGACATTACGAGATTACGAAACAGGTCAATATTTTATTTCTCATTTCAACAATAAGAGATTAAACATTTTGCAATTGATTTAACACTCAACAATAAGAGCCACTGTAATATTTCTGCATTTGTTCGTATTTAAACTTCTTAAACAATTTACAGACTTTTTTGCTTCGGCTGCTATGAGATGCGCATGTGCAGGTTTGCATTAGATCATAAACAGCAGAGGCAGCAAATTTTGAGAAAGGCAGTGCAAACCGACGTTACAACGACAATCCTGATTGGCTAATTGTTTTTTGCTTTCTTGAAGGATATCACTTTGCCCTCGACCCCAGACCCTTTTGTGGAGCCCAGCAAAACGGCTCTGCTGGAAGATGTCAGAACGGCAAACATCTGGCTAGAGTCAGGTTAAATATTTCCATCCCCAATTTGAATCTTGCCAAAACACATTAAGCGAAACAAAAAGCTTAAACACTTCTTTGAGTTGATCCTATTCAACACTAATAGTAATTGCATATAGTGGCTATTAGTGCTGATGTAGTGTCACAAAGGTTACTTGTAGCTTGTTTGCTGCGGTCACATATATAATACAGTAACACATCTTCATACGGCGGCCTGGCAGCAACGGCTAATCACGCTATTTGATATGGGCGAGTCGGCTAAATCATGCAGACAGGATATAATGGCCGGTAATTGATAAGAGACTCCAAATGTCAGGCCAAGCTCAGAGAAAACTGATAGATGATGGCGCTTTATTGGCTGTCCCAGAGGGCGGGAGGGAGAGAGCGGAGTCATTACCTGGAACCAATCAATTCTCAGTGTTTACGTTTGAGCGCGGGGCTGTTTCTCTCACGCTGATTACACAATTGTCACAATCGGAGTGGCGGAATTATACAAGAACCGTTTGTTCATCAGGAGATGGAAACACACAAAATACAAAGATTGACAAATTATGCTTTTTTCTGGGACATTACACTCTAAAAAAGGAATGGTTATAAAACTAAAACTAAGAAAAGGTTTTACCAATCTAGTTAGTAGATATGTGTCTGACAGATCTATGGTTAAAACATCTATAAATGGTAGAGTCGTCAACTGACAGCTTCAAAAAAATCCGACCAATGCTGGCTAAACCAATTCAACTGTTTAGTTGAACTAGAAACCATGATTCTAGAGTGTAATACATTTTCTACAGTACAAATCAATATTGTACGGTATTGTAATACAGCAGTGAGATTTCAATTACCTATTTTCAATGTTGACAACAGCCAAAAATGTGAACATGTACATGTCCTTTAAAAATTAGCAGGTACAGGTAGTGGGAAGTAAATATATTTCTGAACACAAAAAACATCAAATACAAAACAATGCGTATGAATGTCCACTTTGTCAAACCTCCATGTTTCCCTTCTTGTTTACCTCCTCAGAATTATATGTAGAGTGACTCATACAGTTCTCAGTAATCTATTCAACAGGCATACTGTAGAAGCCTCCTTCCTCAAGGGATAAACTTTGAGTATCTCTCGCCCAGCCACTCTGCAGAGGAGACTTACTCTGACTACTTGTCCTTATCTAAACCTCATAATCAGAGGTGAGGCTGGGAACGTAGATTGACAAGTAAATCAAGAGCTTTGGCTATTGCCACAGTTTCCTCTTCACCACAACAGTCTAAAAGTCAATTTCACGTTTCATCTTTCTCTTTCGTAACGATAGAGTGAGCTCAGAGTATAGCTGTTGCTCCTTCACATGGAGAGGAGGTAACTTGTGCAACTGTTCTAGATGCTGAGATCTCAGACACAGCGAAGGAAACCGGACAATTAGAGATTCTTTAAAGTGTATTTAGATAGTAATTATGTTTGATGAGGATTGGTTGATGTCTTACCTTTCCGAGAGGCCTCAAAGCTGTCGTAAATGTTTATCCTCTGGATGTCGTATGTGAGCGTGGTGTTGGGGAGCAGCGTCCTGTTCCTGTTGATTGTGTTAAGAGCAAATTTAAAGGCCAGCTCCTCTGCTCCAGCCGGGCCGCTCTCTACGGACTCGAAGATTCCACCTGTCACAAAAAAGAGGGAGATACAGTCAGTGAGGAGTGAGGTTGTGTGTTTTGTTTTAGGTTTTCCACAAGCTTGTATTGTTCTGGTGGAGACATATTGTAAATCCACTATAATGCTCTGGTTTGAAACTGGTTGAATGTGAATTACTGATCCTTCAAACAACATAATATAATACTGAAGAGTTTCAATAACAAAATGATGAACAACTTCACTCACAAAAGAGACAAACGTATCCAACTGAGCCACCAACATCCACAAACACATTTGCTGCGAGCAACAATAGCAACTGTTTGAGAACGTAACACTTGAATTCAGTCTCATTTGCATTTCCTGTTGTTGTCTCTTATCAGACGAGTTACAACATGAGGTGCAACGGTGAAGACACTTATTTACACCCAACACTGCAAAGTTATCACTGAAACTCACACATGGTCCACTTAATTATGATAAATGATAAACTCACATCAAGTCATAAGTCAAGATGGCAGCCATTCTGTAAGTGACAAGAGGATTTATCCAACAGGAAACAAAGTTCACGCCTAGAATAACATTGTTTGCCATCTGCCTCATGACTTTCAGAGTGATCAAGTAGCTCTTTAGTGTCCGTCTTTCAACATTAACAGGTCCTCAATAGCATTTCCAAACTAGAATCTGTTTATTTTTTTGATAGTGGTGAGGCTCAGCTTAGAAAGGAAAACGTTTTGTTTGTTGGTATAGGGAAAACCGCAGCGCCTGGAGAATATCCACCCGTACACAGGGAGAACTAACTCCATAGAAAAGGGCTCAGGCCAGAAAGGGGATCAGAACTGCAACTTTCTTACCACGCAGGTGCCGAATTATTTTGACCTTTTTCAGTACTATTTGTATTAAAGATGAAGTCAATGATTTATCCAGACGTAATTTTTGAAATACTGTGGGGAAACGTGCCTAAAAAGTTAATTATCATGTTAAATTATCATGTTTTTTCAAATAAGAATGGACATGAACTAATGCCTGTAACCTGAAAAATGAATCATAAATATTTTGGAGCGGAGGGATAGAGAGAAACTGAAAGAATTTAGTTGGCTTTGGATGTAGATAATTTCACACACATAATTACAGTATACAGACATAAACTACATATAGAAATATTTTTAAAAATCACGTTATGGAGACCAAAAAGTACATAAGCAAAGTAAATGCACTTCCAAACCGAAAAGCCGTCAAACTGACTACTCTGGGGGTTCTAAGGTTAAAATTCTCCAGTCAAAGCACCACTCTCCATGCCACATCACTTCTGGTGTGCTCCATCAACTCACAACTCAGCGGCAGCCATCTTGAAGGATCTCTGCTTCACGGGGGGTCGAGCCGAGCGCAGACGGGCGTAATTACATCAAACCAGCCCCATTCCAGCTGCCACTTTCATCCAAATGAAGAAGCACAAAGACAGTGACAACAAACCCGCACACGCTCCAGCCTCTTGTGGGAACTGTGTTGAAGACGGACCACTCGCTTTGATTGACGCCTGTGTTCTATGAGCACCCTTTACTCCGGAGTGTGCGGAGCATCTCTCACAGGCCCTCGTTGGGTTGAGGGACACTTAACAACCATGAGGAAATAAGCTTACTGTGTTTTTAGTACCTGAGATTGGCAAGAAAATTATCAAATGTAAATCATTTTTTTCATTCATCTTTATTTTACTAGGAAATTCCCACTGACATTTCAGAATCTCTTTTTTTATGGGGAGTCCTGGCCCCAAACCGGGGTAGGAAGTGACGTGGGGGAGGGTGTTCCAATGTTAATGTTCTTTAGTGGTAGAGCACACCAACCCAGGCACAGGAAGAACATGCAAACTCCAATCAGAAAGGCCCTGTTACAACCAGCATTCTAACCCAGACCTTCTTACTGAGAGAGTGCTAACCACTCAACCACCCTGCCCCTCCATATGTGCTCTATTCTTTGAAAAGCTCTAATAATGTGTATTCAACGTTGAGTACATTGGGACTAAAATCCTGTTCAGAATAGATCAATGGCAACATGACTTCTGTCACTGAGATCCATTAACTGTTACAGACATATATTTTTCTTTGATAAAGAGGTGTATTTTAGTCAAGGCACAGACGCCAAACAACTATGACTCTTAATGTGAAGTATCAATACTAGCCAGGGAGAGAAGAATAATGCAAAAAAATACGAGGTTAATTTACCAGGCTTGACTATAATAAACTATAATAATATACTAATATATTTATTTTTTAAAAGAGAATATTCTGTTTTGATGGCTTGAAGGCGGTAGAAAGTGTAATAAAAGCAGTCACATGCAAGAAATTACTTTTACAATGGACCTAAAGTCACATAAATGAATGGAGCTATAGATAGACTTAATTTCTCACTATATTCTCTGAAAGGCAGACTGTCCATAGAGATAGAGTCAGGAGCCGACGGTTCACAGTTGGATAAAGCCTATTCTCTTTTGCTCAAGGACATGTGACATCCACTGCACATACTCGCTGCTAACGACCGAAACCCGCTCATAATGACCACAGCTCAGTCCATTAAAATGGCTCTGCTCCCAGCGCCGCAGGAAAAGATAAGTATGCTGTCTTTCCCTCTGTATGTCCACGTTTAAAATCCACTGTGTCAGTGTCACACATTTGGGGCGGGAGTGCAACAGACAATAGACATTAGCATAAACTTAGAGTTTGGGGGCACGGCTGTACAAAGGTGTATTCTGTATGTACTGTACGTTTGTATGGATTTCAATAAGACTACAATTCTGTTGTTAAAAAAAACATTATTTTGTTAGAAATTATTGCAATAAAGTGCTGTGAAGTGCAAGTGCTAACCACTGCACCACGTACCACCCATAAACTAAAACTTAATGTGATAGTCTTGAACTCTAAATGAATTACACATTTTAAGAATTGTATTGACCTCCTGGCCTTAAATATTGATATAAAATAGATAATTTTATGAACTCTAATTAGGGTTGGGCATCGTTTGCAATTTTCCGATTCCGGTTCCGATTCTCACTATCGATTCCTGTTCTAAACGATTCTCGATTCCGATTCTTTGAGGTGCAGGAGAGAAAAAAAAAAAGATAATTTTTTATCAAATTTTATTTCATAAGTACTTTTCCAGCCATAAGGCAACAGAAAGTGCTTTACATAAAAACAAATTAAATTAAAAAACAAGGAACACGAACACACACACACACACACACACACACGCACACACGCACGCACGCACACACACGCACACACAAGCGGTGTTTATGTGGCACCGCCCACCATCATCTCAGAGCGGCTGAAATGTAAACACGTCTCTGTAAACCGCTGAAAAACGGCTAAAGTGAGAATACTGGAGGATTATCGTTGGACGGACTGACAGATTTGACCAAAGCACAAGGACTCGTGCATCATGTTTTCGGAGTTTTTTATGGATTATTACATGGAGGAGGAGCAGGACTTGTTGCGGTCCTCGGCAGGTGGACAGCGTGTTTCCCTTCTTCATCATTACAAAGGGCCTGACCAGTAACTTTAAGGTAAGGAACATCAGTTTTGGATGTGTTTGTAAAGCGAGTGATGAAACTGATGTAGCGTGAGTTTGGGGAAACTGCACCGGGCTTAGCGGGCTAGCACGAGTGTTCAACCGGTCAATACGCCCGTTAAACCTCGCTGTCTGGACTCTAACTTAACCAAATAATATCTGAATTAGTCATTTGACGGATAAATGTTTGCTTCCTTTACCCCTTGACTCAGTTTTATCTGCGTTTGTGGAAAATGTGAAGATACAAGCGTTGAGAGGTTTCTTTGTGATGGCAGGAGTGTGTGGCTGAAGCGAAATGTGGCAAATACTGAGCAAACACGAGTGCGCCGTCTCATAAGAGCTTAATTCACTGAGTTTTTCACAAAGCACAAAGGTGGACAGCTGCTAAGCATTTTTGAAACGTGTCCCCCCCCCCACCTTCCAAACGCTTCCGACGCCGCTGTGCGGGCCGCATCCGGCATTTAGGAATCGAAAAAAGAATCAAAATACAAACGTCTTCTTAACGGTTCCGGAACCGCACTTTAGGAACCGGTTCCAAATAGGAACCGGTTCTCGGTGCCCAACCCTAACTCTAATATTAAAATAATTTTTAATATTAAATATAATTAATATTAAAAATAAATAAAGGTAAATAACCTTTATTTATAATAAAAATAAGGTAAATCCCGCCTTCCCTTCTCTTAGCTATAGCTCAGAATCCACGATGCCGTCCACGTTAACCAATCGAGTCATGCCAAGGGCTGTCATCATTGCGCTGATGCTCGAAGCTGCACGCATGCTCAGTTGTTTGTTTTTGCGGAGCCTCCGAATCAAGCCTCCATTAGGCTCTGGAACTGATACTGAACCTACAGTATATCCATAACCAGATCCTCTGCAGATATGTCCTATAATGTTCAATTCATGTTAATAGCTTTTTTTGTGCATTAAAACATTATTTTTGTCATGAAAACGTTGACAAATAATTCTGGAAACCTTTGTGCATGTGTATTAATAATGTATAAGTAAGTAAGTAAGCCATCTTTATTTATATACCTCCTTTCACAGACCAGAGTCACAAAGCGGTTTACAATTGTTATTTTTACGGCATTTGTCTCTCACTCCACACAGAGATGGAATGTTTTCTCCGATTAACACTTAATAGTGCTGATTGATTGTTACGGAAACGTAGGCGTAGACCAATCAGAAAGGAAGGGGGAGGGAGCTTGGGTCATTTTTGATTCAGACTGGGAGGACAAAACTATCCTGGAGACCAGACCATGAGTCTTGAAAAAATTTATTTTTCAAATCTCCCCTAACCCTAAAAACTCACAAGCAAAATATTGAACTTGTCAAGTTGGATGTGTGACAAGAAGTTATGCAGAATGACTAGGATTATACAAAGTCAAGTCACATGGTTAAAGGCTGTCACTGACACCAAACAAGTGTAAATAATAAAAACTGCTATTCAAACATGATTGCATCCGACCAACTTTCACTTGAGTTTCACAGACCACGTAGTAAAGTTTTACCTACAAACTAAGCAACTAAGTAATTGAAACACTAACTAATATATTCATGTCACAACTATTGGTTACTAAATTCAGACTGACATTTCTCCCAAGAGCAACATTTCCCCACTGTGGACCAATAAAGGTTCTCTCTTATCTCTTCAATAATGGCAGGTTTATGTAACTTCTGATTCAATGGTGTTGTACACGTGACAGAGCTGCAAAGGGTCAAAGGCAGGTGACTCGCCTCCGCACCACTGCTGCACTGCAGATCACATCTGGACTTCAGTGACGACGACTGTCCAAACACATGGACCAGAGAGTAAATAAAACCAAACCGGGCCAGGCCGAAGGGAGCCAACCCAAACAAAACACTTCAATCTCCCACCGATAGCTCCCCCAGGACGCCGTTGATTGATTCGCCGGCCAATCGGAGCGCATTGATCTGAGGAACCACCTGCCCCCCCGGCTCTTCTGGCCTCCTCCTCCATCTGCTGCCTGTCACCAGTGGTCACCTAGGGGGTTGTAGTACGTTTAAACACACTTTCAGAGCGCTGTGAAGAAAAGCGCTTTACGATACTCCATACTGGAACCATTAGAGTTATTGAGCCCCCCAGATACGCTGCGTAGATCTTTTATACGCTGCACTATATCGGTGGAGAGGGGAGGCTTTGATGCTTCAGTGGATGGATGTATAAGTTTGAGGAGTAAACATAATGGATTATTTTGTCTTAATGGAAAGTGACCGTGTTTTATGGGATCTCATGTGTGTATTTAAAGATTTCCTTTTTTGTTTTATAGAGACGTGCAAGGTTCAAAAAATGCACAATGCCTGCTCTATGTCCACAAGCCTAAAACTACAATGCATGAAACTTGTATTGTATATATCATCGGTCTAGGCCAGGTACCTAACTTTAGTCTTATACAACTAACTTGGGAGTCTTATACAAATAATCAATTTACGTTTTGCATAAGACAGTGGTGGTGGAGAGCTGATTAGCTGAAAGAAGATGACCCCTCTTCCTAACATTTATGTCTTGATACAGTTTGATAAATGTTGAAAGACGCCAACAACACATGCAGGTGAAAAATACTGATAGAATTGTTTTGAGGATTAGGGACTAGTTAGATCGATCGATTGTGTGTTTAACCTATTCCAAATAACCAGAACGTATTGTCATAAGCAGGAAATAGTGAGAAGATTCTCATATACAGGCTGGCTTTTTGTGATGTTTCACTTTGAAAAGTGGAATATACTGTACATACATTTGAGTTGACATGCTTTAGAGATAAAGATGATGTTATTTGGTCACAAATGGTGAACTGACTCATTGAATGTGTATAGAAGCTCTGTGCAAACAAACCATGAAACACTATAAAGTTTCTATGTTTCGGTAAAACAGCTCAATGTCAGATGACTTCATGTCCTGAAATACTAAACTTAAGAGGCCCACACAGCTGGACACTCATCACGGATCTTGTTCCACTGCCTCTGAACACTTAGTGAAAGTGTGAACTTAATCCATACTTGTTTGTTTAAAGGAACTGCATCTAAAAAGCTCTGAGCCTGACTGAGCTTTCAAGTGGAGCCATCAGTCACACACGGGAAATCCATGGAGCTCCATCAATCCCACAGCGGGAGCAGGGAAGTGACCACTGTGCTTTCTCCATCTCCCGCACTGCGTTTGGATGCAAATAAATCAGAAAAATGGCCAAGTCCAATCATAATGTATTGTTCAAATGGATGTGCGTGAACCAATACATGTGGTACATTTGGTTTGATTTTAAACCACTTAAAACTGAATTTTGCCATTATCATCACTAGATTCATTTCAACCTTTTGCTTAGGACAGTAATTGACTCCTCATACACTTTTATAAATTAAGTATAAATAGTGACACATGAAACCTTCTGCCCAAGGATCTCTTGGTTCTGGATAGTTTTGGTATTGTGGCCAATGGTCTGTCCCTCCTCCTGTCTGACCAGCTTCCCCACTCTCCCCTGGTCCTTCTTCTTTGGGACTTTTTTTGGCTCGGATACAGCAGGTCTCATCATGGGTTCTCGGTCACCAAAATAATGGTTGCTCCAAGATGGAAGCCCCCTCCATGGCTTTCTCTCCTATAGTATTACTTTTAGAAATATTGTGGCACAAAGGGAAAAAATACACAAAAATATACCATCTAAAATAAACTTTTACATAGTGCTGTTAAGTTGTTGCACCTTTATAATCTGATTGCCGGCATTACACACGGCACATATTGTCATTTTACGCTCAGCTCTCGGGGGGGAAACCACACAGAAGATTGCTTTTCTCTTCTGCTCATAAACCCATCTCCTTGTGGCAGCTCACTGATGCGCATTCCTGATAAATAATGTGAAGAAAATAACATTAGTCTTGTGCCTGGGGACAGCTTGATTGACAGGAGCCTCGAGCTGCGTAATACAAAGTCCCCATAGGCTCTAGGTAATCAGTTAAGTCCCTGTCTGGACATGTGTACGGCACAGAAGCAGCCAATGTCTTCATCAGGCATCAAAGGCAATGCTCTTTGATAAATGTTTGAAACCCCAGAAGATGTGAATTATTGATATTACAGTAGTTGTTGTGTGGAAGTTTGAGTAAATCATTAGAAAAACAAACTGGGCGTAAAACAGGGATGAGGGAAGGGCAAAGGACTGGACTTCCTTTTCAGAAGAAGTCACATGGAGTCAATAAACAACAGTTGATATACTCGCTCGGTACGTCTACGTTCAAATGACATTGTGTAAAAAGAGCATTTAACCTTTTTATAAAATTGGTTCTCTTCTCATTTTTTTGTGATTTCTGGTTGTTTCAGTACAGTAAATATAACAGTATTCTACAGTCATTTTTCCTTTGTTATTATTATGTATCCTATTCTTTGAGATTCAGATCATTCAGCAGGAGAATTTTCACTGTAATGACATTGCTGCCCTCGCAACACAGCAACAGATAAAACGGAAGAAAATAGTTGGATGGATGGATGCAATGACGTTCATGGGATAAATGGGATGGAATCAGGGATGAATGGACCAAAAAGATGAATGTGAGCAGAGACTTTTTTTTTTTTTCAGATGTTTGAGCTCAATATTTCTCATTCATGAATTTCAGTTTACCCTACCACAAAGCTCATGTCTGTATAACTTATCTTCACCAATGCCTCTGTGCTTACATAACTTCAATCAAGCTGTTCATGTTTAGAACAAAGTTGAGGCACATTTAGCTCATGTGGCTTCTTTACCGGGGCGACAGTAGCTCAGTTGGTAGAGCATTGGCCTTTGAGCCTGAAGGTCGTGGGTTCGAGCCCACCTCAAGACCTACTTCACAACTCCCACTGATGACTGCTGTCGTTGTGTCCTTGGGCAAGACACTTAACCCCACTTTGCCTGAAGCCCCCACTGAAAGATCTCAGCTCCTGTGGACTCACCACCTGCAGGAGGATCAGTGAGGGGCTGGTGCTCTGTGGACTGGGTGCAGCTCTGGCCACCCCCCCGACCCAGAAATGGATTAAGGGGAAGAAAATGGATGGATGGATGGATGGATGGCTTCTTTACCACAAATAATGAACTGCACGTGGCATATTTCAATATTTAATGCTGCTAAGAATGATAAAATATGAGGTAAAAATTGCTTGAATTGAGTGTTTTTTAATTTAATTTGAAAACAAGATTTGCCAGAGAGACTAACCATTCTGGCTTATTTCAAGAACTGTAGCTTAAATGTTCTCATTTCAAGGGAGACATTTCTTGTATCTTTTTAAAACAAGATCATTTTGCATGTCCTTTTGTCAAATCTTGTTTTAAGGCAGTCCAAATGTGCTCAAATTAAGCTACATTTTGCCAAGTGTTAGCCTGTTTAGACATTTTTTCATCACTTTTTATGTCTTCAGTGAAGGTTTTCAGACCAATGAAAATCTACCATCACAACCAAACCAACCTAATTGGGCTGAATACCCAAAAAAAATGGACTATAATCCATCTGATTAACACACAACGGCCTTTTACTGTACACCAATCGATTGTCCCTTGATGACGCTATTACCTCTTCTAAAAATCCTAAAAGCACACAAATACAATTTCAAATCCATCTTCATTGGAGTGAAATGACAGAATTACGCTGCGCACACGGGTGAATCTGCCTCGCATACCATTAAAGGCTGCACGTCGCTGGTATACATGCGCCGCTAAAGCCACGGTGCCGAAACATGGATCGATACTGGAGACGTCAGGGAAAATTGTAAACAAATGGTCTTGTGGATGCGGAGGGACAGCCAAGGACACGGCAGAGGCCAGGCTCCTCGCTCCAATTGGTGGAAAGCCCTCTCAGACCAGCGCCGCACTAACGTCTTCAAGTTTGACGCGCGATAGAGACTGTTCAAGGTCCCTGAATGCACCTGGACCATTTGTCTTGGTCTGAGGAATTTTTGATTTCACGTCAGAGCCATACAGTAGTAAATACATCTTTTTCCGTCTCTAATTATATTATATTTAGAGCAATCGATCCAAAACCGATTCTGTGTTTTCATGTATTCTTGAGCAATTACAAGTTAACCATATGTGAGCGATCAAGTGTGCCAGTTTTGCAAAAATAAACCCAATAATATACACACTTAAACTAATGCCAAACCCACATTTTTTTGATCATGATGAGTTGAGAAGTATATATCTTCTGTAGCAAAAATGAATACTAAATTAAACACCAAACTGCGATATCAAACTTTCAATCTACAACAAAATACACCATGAATTAAAACTACAACTACAGTTCTATCACTGGTTTTCACATGCATGTATGCCTCTTTTGCATTCTTTATGAGTTCATAACCCAGAATGCAAAAGAGAAAAGATGTTTTATGATGAGACGAAGACAGTGTGTTGTGGTCTGATTTGTTCACAACGTTTTACTTTTACAAGACTCTTTCTGTTGAGACAAACAACATCATAAAGTTAGGTTCCCCAGTTTTAACCAAAGTAAACTAATACATTTGAATTTCATGGTAATTAAATCATTCCTCAAAAGTATTTGCCTGTTAGTCATTCTAATCCCTGTCTCTCAAATGTCTGATCCATCCACGCTATGACTAAACCTTGCACTCCCCCTCAACATTTGAAACCAGCCAAACTCGGCGTCATCCATCTCTATTTCCCCTCACTCAAAAATGGGACAGAAAAGAACGGTGAACTGCGTGTTGGATCATCATTTCTGGTCTAGTGAGAATTCTTTATGACACAAACTGGGCCTCTCCAGTGCAGCGTGTATGTGGTGGTGTGTGTGTGTTTGTGTGTTTGTGTGTGTGTGTGTGTGTGTGTGTGTGTGTGTGTGTATGTGTGTGTATGTGTGTGTGTATGAGCTGAGTGTGTGTGCGAGGCGGACAGCTTGACTGCGATGAGTGTCAGGATTTCAGAAGCATGACGATATTCAGAACTGAGTCCAAAGAGGTTGTTGAAAATGTCCTTCTTTCTTTCAGAGACCTAT